GCTTCCAATAAACTGAGTTTGCTTTGCATAGCACAGTGCTGGTCCAAAGAAATTTATGGAAATATTTTAGTAATTTGTACCAAACCAAATAAAATAACACTGAAATCAAATGAATAATAAAAGGGTTTGTTTTATTTTACCCTAAAACCATATAACCTTTAAAAAATCATAATTAAGTAACATAAAAGTGAGAAAGCATTGTTACCAAGAATGTTTTATGTGTGAATATGTTACATATTTAATGTACTTTTAAGAATCTGTGAACAAACAACTTTTATGTATTTTCTATTCGTACAGTTTAGGATTTAATTATTTCAAAGAATATTTACATATTATTCCACCTTTCTTGTTACTGTCTTCTGCTTTCCACTTCTACACACTAGTTGGTTTCTTACTGATGTAAGGAAATAGCAAGTCAAGTTGAAGGAAGTAACAGGGTCACAGGTATCAGTTGGTAATTGTATAGGTTTTAAAATACAATAATCATGAAAAGCACCTTCTATTTGCATTGTGATGTGTAGTTTTGGAAGAACCTTGCATGCATTTTAAATCTGATCATCACATTTGACAACCACATTGGCCCAGAGCTCTCTGCTGAGCAAGTCTTGTTATCTCCATTATTATAAAGGAGTCAAAAGATGGAGACAAATGTTATAAAATCCCTATGCTTGTAAATATCATACAACTATAGCAGCAAGTCTATTTTATAAATAGAATGAAAGCAAAATTATCAATCAAATAAAATACAGATTAACATGTTAAAAGCTTTCCTGAAGTGTATACATCACACCAAGCTCTGTCTGCCACCGTGAGCAGCCTTTTGAGTTTAGCATCTCAGTGCCCCCCTGTCCTCTGTGATGACTCAGTCCCAGCACACAGCTTTTCTTACTTCCAAATCCAAGTAGAGCTTTGAGAGAATATTTTGTCCCAGGGGCAGTGGATCCAAGACTACTTGCCATGAATCAAAGCATGTGCTTAATGCCACTTTCTATACTTGAGGTCCAAGAGGGAAGGCATAAAAGGAAATGACAGAGAAAAAGCTGATACTTTGATTAAATAATCAAGTCAGCCTATATGCCAGTACAGATTGACTTGATTAATCTTGGTTGCTTTATTTCTAAGTGAAAGTAACAAATTGAATAGGCTCATTCTTACTGAATTTTTTTGAACATGTAACAACCAGATTCATGTAGCTATATTGAAAATATCCAGGTTTCTCATAATCACTGTAATTATAATGATTGATTACTTGATTGGTTAACACATTAACTGCCATGTGAGTTGTATTTAACTCACTCTAGTTTTGAGTGGGCCTGGGGCCTCATGAAGCATACATAACATCCATGAAATGGCACCATTGTTTCGTCAATACACATTTTCTTATCTGGAACCACAGCAACCTGAAACCTTTCGAGAAGATGACCAAGAAGTGATCTTGAAGAGACAGTCACCATGAGGACATTCTTCATTGTTAAAGAAATGCCACATTCTCAGAAGCATTTTGAAACAGTTAGGTGATATAAGCTTTTTCACTGAATTGTCATACAAAATGTTTTTTGACCAATAGTCTGGAAGTCTTGGAGCCATGTTAAGGCCCATCTAAAACAACACTTCCAAAAATCATTCCATTTCTTGAGAAGTTACGTTATACCACTTTTGTAGTTGGGAGTGGGTTTGATATTACCCTTTTGTAAAGTCTGAATTGCATAGATATTAGTTTCCTTCACCATGTAGTCAATAACATCATCTGGTATGATGAATTTGAAACAAATCATAAGATGTTTTTTCATGGAGATTTACTGCAATATTGGTTGGGTTACTTTCAGTGAAGTCAAAAATCTTCATGTTACTTCCTTCCTTCCTTCTCTGGACCCCAGGTCAGATAACTTGACACTAGTCATTAGAGGGTCTTCAGAAACATTGATGAAGAATCACTCTCGCTAAAATTGCCACAACTGCTTTGATTATTTCAGTAATAGATTTTGAACAGCCTTCCTCAATGGAAAGATCTGCATGTAATGTTCTTCTTCTAGTTTTTCTCCATGGGCTGCAACTGCTATCAGAACTGCCCCCACTATCTCCACTGGGACGGCACTAAATAGATCAACATCTTCATCACTAATATCCAAAATTTCACTCACCATTTCCTCCAACAATTCCTTACATTCATTTTCTCTACACATTTTCTCTTGAGAACTAAAATGCAAAATAAACTTGTGTGATGATCGCAGCTCTGGCCACAGAAGCTACACTAAAGTAGAACTGGTGTCTAGGCGGGAAGGTCCATAGCAGGTTGTGCACTGTGAAACCTGTTGTCACTGTCAATCGGCAGGTCTCTCACACCTCCTGGTCCAGCTACCCGCCCAAACGCACCACGCGTACTGGACTGTGTTCTCCAATTACCATAACTTCCCAGTAGACATTTCCTCTTGAATGTTTGTCTGGCGGCTCTTTGAACCGAATCCATACAGTAGTACGGGCGGCGTGACATTGTTGCACACACATAGGGAGTATGATTCAGAGGTCATCATCTAGGACCACCCACGGTCCACTTCAGACACAACTAAATACCTGTGGAATGACAAAAGACTCAGTTCTTGGAAACAAATTCAATAAGTATGTCATGAATCATATACAACTCACATGGTGAGCAGTGTAAAATTTGATTCTAGCACCGTGTGAGTTGCATATAACTTAAGCACAGAAAACAATAAAAAATAACAAATTTTTCATTACATTAGAAAGAATTGTTTTGTTTTCAAAGTTTTTTCTATTTTCTTAATAAAACACGGTGGCCCCAAGGAAAAAAAAATTTTCCTAGTATGGCAATGCGTTCATTCATTTACTCATTCTCTTTTATGTCCACACCCCACTCCCACCATGCTTGCTATATAGGTAACAACCATACTATACTTAACCCTTATACATTTCATCCAATCCTTATGGCGATCTCTTTTTAGTTTTCTAATTTTTACATTAAGCATTCTTTTAGCACTCATTCATGTGTAGATCCAGTCAGTTCTAACTGCGCCTGGTGTTCCACCTTGTACATCTGCCACATTTCCCTTCCCACACGTCCATCGCTGTGAGCCAATTTTCTCCAGTGCCTTCCACATAAAGTTACAATGAACATTCTCATACATACCCTTATGGGTATGAGTTATACTTTTCCTGAATATATGCATGGGAGTAGAGTTGCTAGATAAGAAGGTGTGTGAATATGTAATTTTTCTAAGTAAAAACTAAACAAAAAACAAGTCTCTAAATAAAATTCCCCAATAGGTGTCGATTCCACAGTTCTATGAGCCTGCCTGAGGATTTCTATGTTTACCCACCCCTGTCAAAACATGACTTTTACCATTTTTGCTAGGATAAGCATAAAATGGTAGCCCATTGATGCTGTACATTTTATTTTTGAGGTTACAAGTGATTTTGAGCATATGTTATGTCCCTATTAACTTTCAGGCTTTCCTCTTTTATAACTTGCCTGTATCTATTTTTTCTTAGTGTATTATAATATTTCCTTTCAGAAAATGGACTATTAATTCTGTGTCAGAAAAAAAAATTCTGTGTCACATTTAGAAATTACAAATATCGTCATCTATTTGTGTCATTTGTCTATTAGCTTTTTTGTTAATGTTCTTACTTGAAAGGAGTTTGTTAATTTCATACAATTGAACTGATCAATTTTTGGTTTTGTTTTCTTTTGGCTATCTTTAGCTAATGTATGGTCAATTCAATGTGTTTCTTGAACTAGGAAAGCAGCACTGACCTTCTAGAGCCTCCATATGTGATTATCATAAAGGCTGAATTGAAGGCTGTACAGCCACCTGCTCATACATACTGCCCATATCTAGTTCACCAAAAGGATTTTCAGCATTTTCCATACCACTGATACATGTGAATAGTTTTTTTAAGACAATAAAATCCAGTGTGTATAGATTGTCATAATATCAAGGAATTTTCCTTTTATACCCAGATATGAATGCTATATGGCTCATCAATTGCAAAATATTTAAGCATAAATTTGTAATTAGACTATATATATATATATATATATATATATAGTTTTGTACTATATTGTGGTACTAACTTGGCTGAGGCTTATATTATTAGTAGTTACCTTATTATTAGTTCTTTTTGATAATATGTAAAATATACACCTTCCTATTACTATTTAAGTTTTTCATCTTTTTTATTTCCTCTTAATGGCATTATTTTCAAGCTCAACTTTTGAAGATATACTTAACACTTGCTTTTGATACTTAACAATGCTAAAAAGTTATTGTTTTGTCTGTCATATAAACTTTTATTTTACTTTTAATATATCAAAAAGAACTAAATATTGTGTTGATTATTTCTCTTATATGAGCTCTACATACTTACTCATAATCATTTTTATTTAGCATTTATTCCTTTAGGGTTAAACTTCCTAAACCATCATCTGGAGAAGATTAAATAAGATGGAGATGATCAACTCTAAGTGAAGTGCTTCCTTTGTTTATAATATTCATCTTTGCAGAATTCTCCCATTTGGAAACCTATAAAAACAACATGGATTATTTTTTCACTGAAATCTTACAAAGAGTTCAATCCTTGCCTTAAGAAATGTATATGGGGATGGGATATTATTTACTTTGTTTTACTCTTTAACATTAAAGCAAAGTGGCTAATGAAATAAGCATTTTATTCCTTCTCCAGGATGACAAATTGCTGACAAACTTGTATCCCATTTTTATCAGTGTTGTGCAAAAGGAAACATTTCACATAGCTTTATGAGATTTTGGAATGCTTTAATTCCTGAAATAGAACTGTTGCTGCTAGAGGAAGCCTTGCTTCAGAACAAATTACCTCTTTCTCTGCAACATACATCATCACGTAGATATTGTATTTTATTGTCTTTGAAGTTATCACTTTAAAATGTAATGCCATTTATATTGTATCATTCCTAACTTCAAGGTCTGTTTGGTATCTTTTAATCATGGAATTGATTTTCTAAGCCGTACAGGGTAGAGAAGCCGGTGATGACTTTGTCGAATCGTCCATTCTTGATGCTGTACAGAGGGTTGACAGTGCAATTAACTCCACACGAAGACATCTGTTTTCACGGTAAGAACATATTTTATTTAGATTGCAAAATTGATTTCATTTATGTTCTACTTAGTTTTTATAATGGCAATAAATCACAAGAAGGATAGTGCATAAGACTGCCACAGAGTACCTACTTTAGTTCTTGCTTGAACATCACCCCCCTGGGCTGGCCATTGCCATAGTTCAGCTTCGAGAAGGAAACTTCTTTCTGCATAGAATCTAAATGGCATTAAATTATGCCACAGACCCACTCTATACAGTCTGACACTAGACACCAGGCAATGAGCTCTGCTATGTCAGCATCCACCAGACGGTGTCAGACCTAGTGCTTCTGCAACCCGTGAACTGTGTCACTGTCAACTTGAACACACCTGATTATAAACTGGGAGACCATAGGTAAAACTTTTGCATAGGATATGTGGCACTTTGCATTATTGTAATTTGAATTGGAATGTTTTTAGAATAGTGAAACCTTCCAATTCTACAAACTGTTTCATGTTTGTGAAACCAAGATGTATTAAAGAAAAGATGATTGCTGTGTTCACAAAGTATATATATCTCCAGTATTTGCAGTTGTTCATCAAAAAGGGACATCTAAAATTGTCAAATCAAGTATCGCCCTGATTCCTGCACATCCACAAGCGGTGTGGAGGGGTGGTCATGGACTGACCATGTTCTGAAGCCATGTGACCTATGTAATCCTCTTGTGATTCCTCACTTCATCTCCTTCTATCTGGGTGACCTTGGGCAAGTGACTTAACATCTTTTTACCTCAGGCTTTTTATCTGTAAAATTGGGATAAAAATAGGATCTTCTTCATGGGTGCACTTGCTGGGAGTATAGAGTAAGATGATATGGAAAAAAGTACTTCAATGGGCCCAGCACATAGAGAGTACTTAACTGAAGTGAGCTATTAGTATTAGTAACATTACTATTATTCTATCATCTAAAGTTATTATGATTTAGGACATAAAGGATAAAATGTGCCTTAGTTGACCCAAATCTCTAAAACACTTTGCTTCATATTCTCAGCAACTTTAATTTTCTTTTTTAACTTATTTAGTTCAATTCTACAAATGTGCATAAGCTGCTATTGTATGCTGGCCAGGGGGCTTGGTACTTGAGATACAAAGATGAATAGGGCAACATCTCATTCATAACCCATTTCTTTCTTTAGTAGAGAAGTCGATATGTCAGCAATTTAAGCACATCTTGCTGTGTACAGAAGAGATGTATGGAAGGTTACAAAAGTAATAGAGAACATGGTGTGATAGCTTGTCAAAGCTATCAGGAGACTGTGCAGGGAGAGTGATGTCAGAGCAGGATTTTAAAGGTGAGAGTGAATTTCCATTTGGGGAAAGAGAAGACAAACTGCCAAGACTGAAACTGAAATAGTTTCACACTATTTCAGTGGGTTTACTGAGCCCCCGAAACCTATGCATGGAGCTCCCCATGTATATAACTCCCACCATAGATGCTGCTTTATTATAGAAAACTACAGTTTAGAACATTAATGTATTAAAAATGCATTTTTTGAGTTCAGCACTGTGACTGACATTTGGAATTTAGTTGTTATTAAAATAGAGCCCTCAGCTCCCCTGTGGAGATTGTATGCTAGTGGTAGAGCTTTCATTCTTCTTGAATGTTTGGAAAATGCCTTCTTAAATGCACAGCCTATGTAAGCTGCGTGGATTCTGCAGTTTTGCCTAGCAAAGAGTCATGTCTTTTGTCATTTACAGAAAACCTCACACCCCCAGTGACCTACTGGCTCAGTTGCGATACCAACATGATCCACGAACTGTGGAGATGGCAAGAGCAGGTGACATTTTTGAGCACACGCTGCAGCTGATCCGGGAACATGTGAAGCAGGGGCTCGCTGTGGATTTGAAAGGCAGAGGTCAGCTGCAGAGCCGCTCTGTTGTAAGCCTACTGTCCACAGAAAAACTGACCTCCACCTCTAATGAATACCAATCATTGTGGGATTTAGAAATTAATTTATTCACAACTTTTACCGAGTAAATGCAGATGTTTCTCATAGGAACTCTAACTCCAAAGGAGGGACAATAAATACATATTCAAACATGCCTCAACTTTTGCCCATTATACATATTGTACAAATCTAGGGGATCCATTTTATATAAACTAGCTTTTCAAATCCAAAAGATATTACTACTTCCTATAGAAAAATACTTGAAATTCCTTCCACCACCATTTATATCCCTTCCTCCTCCTATTTTTTTTTTGTTGTTGTTATTTTAAAATTCTTGTGTATTTCTTTCCAAAGCCAGATATCTTAATAAATGTCAAATGAGATGACACATAAGCTTCAGATTTTCTAAGTCTTTCTCTTTATGAAATAAATGATGTGATTCTTTGCTGTCTACTATTTGTGCTGTGAGTGGAACAGCAACTTTCATTGGTTTACCTTTCCTTTATTCTCCTTCAGAAAATCGACTGAGCCCTGGTGTAGAAGGCCTATCCATGTGCTTGGCTCAGCCCAAAGTGCTCTGCACAACTTCTCTAAAGTGCATCTGACTGTCCTTAGTTGCCTATTATGTATGTCTTGGGCTTTCAAAGCTTCCCTAACCAAAACATCCTGTGAAATTTCCATATAGCCCATATTAGCACTTTAATTCACCTGTAGACTACTTCATGTTGAGTCCTATCAGGTGTGAGTTAGGCATGGCCTGGTCTACAAGAGCCCTGTCAGTTCTTCTTTCCCCAACTCCAGGTTAGGTCATACCCTCAAACCTTTCTGGTCCTTTGTGAGTTTCCTACTCACACACTAGGAAAAGAAATACTCAGAAATAACTTAGTCTAGATTCATAACTGGAAAATGATAATCAATACATATCTACAGAGATTTAGCTTATCTGAAATATGCATCCAATGTTCATTAGCAAACTGAATATATCTTCTCACTTAAAGTATTTAAGAACTTTAAACATTTTTTCCCAAGAAGAAAACCACTATGCTATTTTACCTCTCTTTCATTATTTATAAAGTTAAAGGCCTTCCCCCTCTCCCACCCCATAAGCAGCTTGCCCTTACAGTGACCCAGTATCTGCTACATCTTGATATACCGGATGATTCTTTGTATCTACCCCAGATTAAGATATCCCGGGATTCAGCTAGAAACTAGATAATACAGCTAAAGAACAAATGGTCCTGATATTTTCCACTTTCTGGGGATTAAAAAGGAATAACTCTTAGCAAGCCTGGTGTACTGAGTAGTTTTTGTAGTATTGAGAGAATGCTGGAATTTTGAGCCTTGTTAAAAGGTATGGCTCCAAGGCACTTCCCGGTGTGTTGCACATTCCCCAGGGAACGACAGTTTGTAGCAGTCCAGAAAGTTACTGTTTCATCCCTCTAGTCAAGAATCACGTGGGCTAATATTCACATGATCCTCACTGACATATCTTTGACTTTGTCCACTAGAAGCACAAAACCTGAAAGAATTCTGAAATGGAAACAAATAAAAATCAACAAAACAATTCTGGGGTAAGAATTAACAAATCCTTAGCGATGTTATATTTGTAAAAGCGCAGAAGTAGAAGTTAGGAGATGGCATATGGTTCTTCTTCTATTTTGTGCCTTCTAGAATTAGGCACTGTTTATAGGATAGACAGCACTAAAGTAAGCCACGGTCTTTGGAAATATCTTTTACAGTTAAAGAACTGTTTTCCCCACCTTTGTATTGAAGTGCTTTGTCGTGACCTAATGAAATGTTGGAAGTAAGAAAGGCTTCTGCACACCCAGGGAGGGCGGGGGTTCGGCTGCTCACTGGCACCTTGCTGACGGCCCTCCTCACGCTGGCTGCTCTGCGTTTCAGAATTCCGCTACAGTGACTTGGTGTCCCCGCGCTCCCTCAGCCTCATCGCCAATTTATCAGGATGCACAGCCCACAGGAATCTGCCCAACTGCTCCGACCTGTGTTTCCACCAGAGGTACCGAGTGCAGACGGCACGTGCGACAACCTGCAACGGCCCACGTGGGGCATGAACGGCCGTCTGGCGCCTGCAGCGGCCGGCCTACCCCGACGGCTTCAGCGCGCCCGCCCGCCCCCGCCCGCCCCCGCCGCCCTGCTGGTCTCCGGGGAGCTGGCGCGCGCCGTGGCCGTCACCCCCGACCACAGATACACGCCCATGCCCATGCAGTGGCGCCAGTTTTTGCACCACGACTTGGACCACACCGTGCCTGCGCTGAGCACGGCCCGCTACTCGGACGGGCAGCCGTGCAGCTCCGTCCGCACCCACGACCCTCCCTGCTTCCCCCTCGCCGCCGCACGCCGACCCCGGGGCAGCCCGGCACCCTGCACCTTCTTCCCTCGCTCCAGCCCGGGGCGCGGCAGCGGCGCGACCTCCTCGGTGGCCGGCTCCGTCTGCGAGAGCAGATGAACCAGCTCACAGCCTACATGGACGCCTGCAACGTTTCCGCGGGCTCGGAGCGGGAAGCCCAGGTTCTCAGAGACCGTTCTGTGCCTCGGGGACTCCTGAAGACAGGCTTGCCCTGGTTCCCTTCTGGAAAGCCCCTACTGCCCTTTTCTAGGGGCCCGCACACTGAGTGCTCACGACATGCACAGGACAGCCACAGCCCCTCTTCCTGGCCGGGCACCTCCGGGCCAACGAGCACCCGGCCCTGATGGCCGTGCACACCCCGTGGTTCCGCGAGCACAACAGGTGGCCGCGCAGCTGTCGGCTCTGAACCCCCACTGGGACGGGGACACCCTGTACCAGGAAGCCAGGCAGATCATGGGCGCAGAGCTGCAGCACATCACCTACAGCCACTGGCTGCCCGAGGTGCTGGGGGCCGCTGGCATGAAGATGCTGCGAGAGTACCGGGGCTGCGACCCCAACGTGAATGCAGGGATCATTAACTCTTTTGCTACTGCCGCTTTCAGATTTGGCCACATGTTAATCAATCCTCTGTATCCACTGAATGACACCTTCGGTGAAATTCCCGAAGGCCGCCTTCCACTTCACAAAGCTTTCTTTTCACTTTCCAGAATAATCAAGGAAGGCGGATAGATCCGCTCCTCCGGGGCCCTTTGGCGCCGCGCAGCTGCGGCGCTCGCAGCCCCTGGGCCCGCCGCGGGAAGCTGCGCTGCGGCCCTGGTCGCGCTGCCGGGCATCCGAAGGGCCGGGACCACCGGACCCCGCCATAGGTTGACTTCCGAGTTTTCTGTAATTTGACTTCTGTCGAGAACTTTGAGGCTCTTCAAAATGAAATTAAAGATCCAGAGATCAGACAAAAACTAAAAAGTAAGTATGCAAATGTTGCCTGGATTCAAGCATTTCTTGGTAGAAGGAAGTGTTAAAAGGCTTTTTGTGGGGGTGGAATTTGGTTTTCTGGGGATGTTGTTGCAGAGATTTTACTAACTGTTACTGGTAGAGAAACTGACTGTTAAAGGACACATTCTCCAGAGGCCGAAAGCCTCCTTTTGCCCCCTTCTCTGTCCATCTCCTTGTGAATGCAGCCGGCGCTGCCTCCGGCTATCTTGCCAGCGCAGGCCCGTTAGGCGGAGCGGTGAGCATGTCTGGGCCACTCGCGCTCTATGGCAATGCAAGCAAAGCCAGGAATTCTGATACAAAGCTGTAAAATAAACTGTTCCCTCACACAGGCCTTCTTAGGTGGAGCAAAGTAGTGAAAATGAAATCAGAAATTATTTTTTGTCAAGAGAACAAATAGTTCTGAATTCATGGTCAGAATTTAATTGAGGTCTTTTCACTGCATCCTTAATGCCTTTCAGTAAAGTATCAGTGTGTGTGTGTGTGTGTGTGTGTGTGTGTGTGTGTGTGTGTGTATGAGATTCAAATTTTCTTTGAAGCTACAAGTTTACACATTTTCAGGAGATAGCTTTACCCATTCCTAATTCTCACCAACCTTCATCACTTAAAATGTTTAAAAACAGAAAGAAATATTTCATCAATAAGTTTTGTCTGTGGTAAACTAAACATACCAGATTAGAATTTATTAATATATTAAGGTATATTAGTGTGAAATCTTTCAGAGAAGTTTAAATTTGTTTATAAATTATGTAGCCAATTGTCAATATTAGGCCCTTCTTTGCAAAAACAAGAATATACTTCTATGCCACTAGAATGTGTTTCTCATGTATATGGAAAATCCACCTGTGAAAAATGTATAATATATTTAAAGCAAATCAAAGTACCATGTGTTGAATTTGCAAGTTTCTACTGGAAAGGACATTGACTTTTGGATTCATGGAGGTAATAGTTTAAATCTATGTTCTACCATTTATTAGTACTGATAGCTTGTGAAAAGTTTTTAAACTTTTGAATCTCAGAATGCCGATAAAATGAGAAAGTAGTGCTTCCTCCTCAGAGTTGTTTAAAGATTAAATTACATAAAATGCATCAATACCTGGCCCAGTTCCTGCTGCATCATAAGCAATCAGTAAATGTTAGCTGTAGATATTTTATTATAACATGACCATTTCGGTTGCCGGGTCATTTTTATATTGCCCATCTGCTCTGATCCAGCCCTGCGCTGGTGTGGGAGCCCAAAGGAAGGAAGCGGCATCCTTGCAGGAGAGCCTGACCGCAGGGGAGGCGGGAGATGATGGGTGTGGAAAGGCTTGGTGGAGGTGGGGATTCAACGCTGTGGGAGCAGAGCTGAGAAATGGAAGGTTCACAGCAAGCCACTGGTAAAAGACGCCATTTGATCTTGCCTTGGAATTTTTTGGGTGCAAGAGGTTAGATGACGTGGGAATAGCAGGTGGCATCTGGGACGAAGGACTGGAAGCAGGAAGATGTGTAGTTGAGGGTCAGAAGGAAGGAACAGAAAGGTAATAGGGCCAGGTTTTAAAGGGCCTTGTGTGCCATGCAAAGGAATTTGGTCTTTACCCCGTGTTTAACTCTAAAGCAGGAGGGTGACCCTGCCATGAAACTGTAACCGGCAGGAATTTGGAAGAAGCCCTGCAAGGAGGAGAGGCTAGCAGCAAGGACGTCTGCAGGGACTCGAGTCCTCCAGGAGAAGGAAGATGGCTTAGACAGGCTTGTGGCAGTGCCTGCAATCCCATCAGAATTTTTTCAAAAAAAATTTTGGTATATGATATCTGTACATATTTATGGGGCACATGTGTAATGACCAAATCAGGGTATTTAGTGTATCCACAACCTGAGTATTGTCATTTATCATTTCTATGCGTTGGGTACATTTCAGGTCTTCTCTCACAGCTATGTTGAAAAATACCATACATAGTTAACTATAGTAGCCCCGCTCTACTATCCAACATTAAAGCTCATTCCTTCTAACTACCTTTATGCTTGTTCCCATTGACTGACCTCTCCTCATCCGACCACCCCTGCCCCTATCCATGCATGTTTCCGGGTTTCTGCTGTGGGGTGTGTCCAGCGTTTCCTGTGGGCGGATCATCCCGATTGAACGAGGTCAGTGGCCCGTCTCTCGCAATTCACTGGAGTCCCACTTCTCAAGTGGCAGCTAACTTGTAAATTCACCACAAATTATAGACTACCAGCCATGTTTCCTCTTTCAAATTTCCTGTGCCAAGGTCTTCCTAAATCCTGTGGCTCTGAGGTGAGATGCAGTAGCCGCCGCGGCCGTCCTCCCGGTGGCCTTGCGAAGCGTGACTGGCCTTTCAGACGGACCGGGACTCTGCGTGCAGCGCCCACACCACAGCCTTTCTGCTGGCTCTTTCGTGCGCTGGGGATCGTGCGGCGGAGCGCCCTGGCCACCTGGCCGGCGACCGCACTCGGCCGGCCGGCGTGCGCGGAGCAGGGCGGTGCTCGCGGGAGTCCAGATGGCAGGTTCTCGGGAGCTGCCCGCGCTGATGAAGGCGGCGCGGCTTTAAACGTCCTCACTCGCGGGGTTCTGCCCTGCCCGCTCCCGTTGCCGCTCTCCTTCCGTGTTCGCTTGCAAGTGGTTTTAGGAGTGTGCTTTCAAACCGCGTCGGTCTGTTTGGGGGGGACCAGTCGCTGCGACCTCACGTGGTGGCAGGGACAGGAGGGCGAAGGTGGCCAAGGCCCCACCCTCATGACCTGATCTTCCGCTGACACTGTCACTTTGGGAGTTCAGCTTGTGTCTCTGCGGAACCCGCGCACCCACAGCAGCCGAGCGGCGCGGACTCCGTGCGGAGTGGGGTGTCCTGCGGGCGGGGTGTCTTGTGGGCCGGGGTGTCCTGCGGGGCGGGGTGTCCGGCGGGCGGGTGTCCGCGCGGCGGGTGTCCAGCGCGCGCGGTCTGCGGGCGGTGTCGCCGGCGGGGTGACCGCGCGGCGGGTGTCCGCGGGGGATGGGTGACGCGCAGGGTCGGTGGGCGGGGGGTCCGCGGATGGTGTCCGCGGGCGTGTCCAGCGCGGCGGGGGTGTCGGCGGGCGGGGTGTCCTGCTGGGCGGACGTTCCGGCGGTGCTCTGCTGGCGGGGTGTCCGGCGGGACGGGTGTCGCGGGGTGTGCTGCACGGCGGGGTTCCGGCGGCGCGGGTGCGCGGGCGGGGTGACGGCGGATGGGTGTCCGGCGGGCGGGTGACGCGGGCGGGGTGTCATCGGATGGGATGGCCGGCGGTTGCCACGGCGGGGTGTCCGGCGGGCCGGGGTGACCGGCGGGCAGCGGGGTGTCCTGCGGGGCGGGGTGCGGGCGACCCCAGGCCTGGCTGCACCCAGGAGCCTAACCCGGGCAACGGCGTGCGACTCGTCCCGCCACAGCGAACGGAGGCTGGCCAGCGACACTGGCCGACGACACTGGCGGCTGCCAAGGGCCGCGCAGACGTGCGCACGGGCGGGACGGGACCCCGGCCTCTGCTCTGCGCAGCTCGCCCTCCACTTCCAGGAGCCGCAGACCCGCAGCGTTTTCCAGAAGGTTCTGTGACATGTGTAGACGGCTCACATCCGTCAGTACCAGAGCTCAGGTTACACTGTTTTAAAAGGCTTTTTTTTGTAATCTAAAGTGTTTTATATTCTAAAGAGCTTGTTTTAAAACCATGTGAGAATGAATCATCTTCTCCTGCGTAGGGCTATGCTGGTCCTCAAGGATCGCGCTGTTTCTTCGGGTTCTTTCTAGAGCGCGTCTCGGGCGGAACGTGCAGATCCACACCCGCGGGTGGCACACCCCGCCGCAGAGACAGGCCACTTCACAGCTGGTTTTGAGCCCTCTTTGGAAAATGTAATACTATGTGTGACTCTTGTGGCTTTGGGCACTTTTGGTCCCCTTTCCCTTTTGGAAGGACACTCTTGGTCCCCTTTCCCTTTTGGAGGGAGTGATTCTGTTCTCTGAGCTCTCCAAGGCCCCAAGCTGCGGGCTGGGGCTGGGCTGGACGCGCCGGCTCCTTGCTCCTGTCTCTGCCGCTTCCCTGCCGTCTGCGGGAACGCCGCCCTCCTCCGCGGCTCCTCCCTCCTGTCTCCCTGCTTCCCTGCCGTCTGCAGGAACGCCGCCCTCCTCCGCGGCTCCTCCCTCCTGTCTCTGCGGCTTCCCTGCCTTCTGCGGGAACACCGCCCTCCTCCGCGGCTCCTCCCTCCTGTCTCTGCCGCTTCCCTGCCGTCTGCGGGAACACCGCCCTCCTCCGCGGCTCCTCCCTCCTGTCTCCCTGCTTCCCTGCGGTCTGCAGGAACGCCGCCCTCCTCCGCGGCTCCTCCCTCCTGTCTCACAGCTTCACTGCCATCTGCAGGAACGCCGCCCTCCTCCGCGGCTCCTCCCTCCTGTCTCCCTGCTTCCCTGCCGTCTGCGGGAACGCCGCCCTCCTCCGCGGCTCCTCCCGTCTGCGGGAACACCGCCTTCCTCCGTGGCTCCTCCCTCCTGTCTCACAGCTTCCCTGCCGTCTGCGGGAACGCCGCCCTCCTCCGCGGCTCCTCCCTCCTGTCTCACAGCTTCACTGCCGTCTGCAGGACGCTGCCCTCCTCCGTGGCTCCCGCTCTCCTGGCCCCACGCCTGGCGCCGGGCGTCGCTCTCGTAGCGCCCGCGTATTTTTTCTGAACACAGATTTTAAGTAGACCACATTGCACACTTACGCCGAGGGCTATTGTTTGGCTCTAAATGATGCTCTTAGAGACGTCCCACCTCTGCTCATTTTCATTCCAGAGTATTTCTGCTTTCTGTGGAACATGTTAATTGAAGGACAGGCTCAAAGAGGTGTCTTCCTTGGTTACAGATACATTGCCTAATTTATCTGAATCCTCAGAGTTCAGCTCAGGGCTTAGCGCAAAGCAGCAGCTCTCTAGAGTCTAGACACTACATATGTCATTAGGGAAGTGCGACTTGCTTGCTTCGTTTTTTTTCTTTCCAGGACCCTTGA